CCTCGGGCTAACGGGGCCGCCGTTAGTTTCCAGCCCTTGTGTAAGCCCTGGGTTTCAGGGTGAATTCGCTCCAACCGTCCGGTTCGAAAACCCCGGAGAAAATGCTGGAGGGGCACACGGGGGTCCCCAGCGTCTCTATCAAGCCAGGCGCCCCGGCCGTTGGGGGACCCTTCCCCAGAACTGACCTTTCACCAATCGGAAAAAACGTTTCTTTGGAAAACTGCCCGGCTCCCGTGAGTGCGTCTAGGGCCTGGTGATGGGAGTTTTGTAGGGTAACGCCGAGCCTCCTGACCCAGGTTCATAGACCCCCACCCCCCCCCCCCGCCGCAGGGAGTGGAGAGCCAGGAGAGGGGCAGGGCTGGTAGTGAGATGGCGGCGGATTTGGCTGGCTAAGGGGAACCGGGTATCACAAGGGCCGCATGTGGCCACCACACCCCCAGGACCCCTCTCCGCCGGGCAGTGTCTGTTGGCTCCCCCAGGGGAATTCGAAGGTCGCCAGGTGGAGGAGCTGATGGGACCTGGTGTCTCCCGGGCTGTGTTCCCTGTGAGCTATGCGCTCCTGCGAGCAAGTCCAGGGCTGCCTAGTTGATTAGCAGAGCACCCCCCGCTAGGTTTCTACTGGGGGTGTACATCCGCACATGCCTCGGTGTATATAAAATTTATTCCGCACATGGATGGACAAGATTAGAGGCACTATTGCTCCTGGGCTGCTTGCCTGCCTGTCACCGCCTCTCTGAGCAGAGACCAGCTAAACCATAGGTTCCCAAATTGGGGAGGTGTGCCCCCCTGGGGGTGTGTGAAGAAATTCCAGGGGGGGGGCGCGAGGCGACCCAGTCCCCTCCCAACAATCTCCCCTCCCCACCAAGAAAGAGCCCAGTCCGTCTGGTAAAAAAATTCAGAAAATACCATGTGAACTGTCCGGTATTTTCTGTTTTTCCTGGCTTGGGCGTCCACCAGAATACTGGTCCTGGGAGTTAAAGGGGCCACAATTGGTTTTTCAGCCCCGGTCAGTCCTTTTTTTTTTGCTCAACAAGTTTTGCTGCTATTTTGGGGGGGGCATGAGGGTTTCTCAAAAATCAAAAAGGGGGCGTGATGCCGAAACGTGTGGGAACCACTGAGCTAAGCGTAAGTGCTCCCTTTCCCTTTCGCTGGGGAGAAGTAGGGTTCCAAAGTCCCCTTGTCTGAGAGGCCGAGATGGGGTCTGAGGTGGCACATGTGGGGAGAGAAGGAGCCATTCGTTGGGGTGCGCTGGCCCTGGCCCTGCTGGTAAAATCCAGTCCCGGCTCCTAGCAGGAGAACAAAACACACACACTCCAAAAAAGGGGAACCGAAAAAAGCAGCAAAATGGGAAAATGCAGCGCCAGTCCCTGGTGTTAACCGCAGCCTCACTTCTGGGGAAACACAGGCCCAGCCTGGGGTCTCCTCAGCCGCGCTGAGGCCTGGCAAACTTGTCCCAGGGACAGGGTGTTTAGGGCCTGGCTTTTCGCTGCCTTTCCGGCCACAGGCTCACAGCGGTGCTGTGGCTGGCTAAGCCAGACGCTCCCTGGAGAGAAGGAAGAAGGAAAGGGAAGGCGTGAGATGGGGAGGGGAAAGGGCCCTGTGGGGAGAGGGGGAGCCCCAGGAGAACCCAAGGAGCATGGGTCAGAGCCTCTCCAGCCAGTCGGCCTGTCTCCCCTTTGCACAGCTGAGCTAGCAAGGAGAGAGGCCTGCCAGGAGGGGGCACTGTGTGGGCAGCCCCAGCAAGCTGGCCCCATGCCGGCAGCTTTCGGGAACAGGTGGCATCCGCCTCTTGCTGCTGACCCAGGGGAGAGATTAACCAGCAACAGTGCCCATGGGATTTACAGCTGCCTCCTGCCGCCGCCACCCACAGCTGCAGGTCCCCCAGCCCCTGGCATTTTCTTTCCAGCCCCAGATATCCCCCACCCCCGCCAGCCCAGTGCAGGGGCTGGCGGCCTCTCCAGACCCACCGCGAGAGCGGAGGGTCCTGGCTCCAATCCGAGCAGGAACCTCACAGGTGGGCTCTCCCTGCCGCTTTGGAGCCGGGGTGGTGGGTGCTTAGAGGCTGCCTCGCTTTGCTCTAGGACGGGGCTGGGCAAGATGTGGCCATGGGGCCGGATGCGGCCCACGTACCACTTGGATCCGGCCCGCGGCCGGCAGCTGGCTGCTTCCTATTCCCAGCCTGCTGCCGTGCCACCGAATGTCCGGGCGGTGGCTCAGGCAGCAGGATCCTATTGAAATGGCTCCAGGACACGGTGCTACCCCAACAGGGACCGGAGCCGTGAGCCTTTTAAATCTCCACAGCAACCCCCGGCGGCTGCCAGGTAACATGGTAGCGACGGGGCCTTTTGTTTTTTAGACGTGCCCAAGTGAGACGGGTGCCCAGCCTGCGGTGCCAGGAGCTGCAAGCCCTTTTAATTCAACGCCTCTAGTCCCCAGCCCCGCCCCTTCTGCCCCAAGCCACGCCCCTTCCAGGGCGGAACCAGCCCGTGACCGCCTCCCAAAATCCATTCAACGCCTCTAAGACCACGGCTACTCAACTTTAGAAGCTCCGGGGGCCACAGTGACACTCACAGCACATGTTGAGGGCCACAACTTGTGTGGTTGTGTAAGCCACACACCTAGTGTGGTTCCTGAGCAATGCAAGTGGTACCTAGACCACAGCAACAGCCAAGATCAAGAGACCTCTAGGCTGCATCTACACTGGCGTGTGCTTTTGTGCAAAAGAAGTGTATACACAGCCCTACAGCATGAGCTGGGAGCCAGCTGGCTTTTAGCTCAGAGGGTGGAGGCTCCTAAACTCAGCTCTAGAGGTCCTAGGTTCAAATCCGCCAGGTGGTGGTTATAGTTGCATGTACATGCAAATATATGCAAATAGCTTCTTTCACACTGACTGGCATGAGGACAAAGATTAAGACCAGACTACACAACACGCAGGCCCCATGTAAGTCAGTTCTGCTGATATTATTAAAATGCAACATTGACCCGATTTCCACCCATATGCCAGCAGTTTGAATGAGCAATAACAGTCCAGGAATTGGACTAAAACACGTCTCAGCCGACGAGCGTGCTATTGACGCGCCGTTGTGGAGCGTGTTCCCAGTGGAGGCCTCGTTCAAAGGATCCCGCCGCAGGCCGCGTGTTGAGCCCCGTGTAAACTCATAGCCATGATGGAGACCGTGCTTGGTCCTGCCATGAGGGCAGGGGACTGGACTCGATGACCCCGCGAGGTCCCTTCTAGTCCTAGTGCTCTAGGATGCTATGATAAAGTTGGCCCCCTGGTAAAATTATTGCCCAGCCCTGGGACTCCCCCCCCTGCCGCGTCTCACTGTGCTTCTCCCCTTTCCAGCTAACACCCTGACGGCCGTGGCCCTGTCCCGCCTGGCTGCCCGGACGAAGAAGTCCTCCTACTGGTACCTGCTGGCCCTGACAGCCTCCGACATCCTCACCCAAGTCATCATCGTCTTCATGGGCTTCCTCCTGCAGACGGCCATCCTGGCCCACAAAGTGCCTCGGGCCTTCCTCCACACCGGCAACGTGCTGCAGTTTGCCACGCACCACGCCTCCATCTGGGTGATGGTGCTGCTGCAGGCCGACCGCTACGTGGCCCTGTGCCACCCGCTGCGCTATCGCCGGCTCTCCTACCCCGCGCGCACCCGCAAGCTCATCGCCGCCGTGTTCGGTGCGGCCCTAGCCACCGGCATCCCCTTCTACTGTCGTGGGGGCGGGCCCTCTGGCGCGCCGCCCGGCCGCCCACCGCCGTGGACACGGTGCTGAAGTGGAGCCACTGCTTCGCCATGTACTTTGTCCCCTGCGGCATCTTCCTGGCCACCAACTCGGTCATCGTCTGCAAGCTCCGGCGGGGGAAGCGGGGGGAGGGGCCCCGCCGGCGCGTGGGCAAGTCCGTGGCCATGCTGATGGCCGTCACCGGCGCCTTCACGGTGCTGTGGGCACCCCGGACGTTCATCATCATCTTCCACCTCTCCACGGATGCCGCCACCAAGGAGGATCCCGCCAGCAAGGACTGGAAGGTGCACGTGGCCCTGAACCTGGCCAACATGCTCGCCATGCTCAGCACCACCGTCAACTTCTTCTTCTACTGCCTCGTCAGCAAGACCTTCCGCCGGACGGCGGGCCAGGTGATCCGCTCCTGCACCCCCTTCTGCGCTGAGCAGGGGCGGCTGCCCGCCGAGGGAGGCTTCCTGCGTGCCGCTCGGCTGGGGCTGCTGGAGAGCGTGTCCCGATAGGCAATGCCGTCGCCCCGGAGCCAGGGACCCCGGAAAGCACAGCTTGGCCACTCGGCCCCTTGCATCCCGGCCCCTGCAGCAGCCAGGGCAGAGCGGTGGGCAGGAGGCAGCTAGCACTGGGATGCCAGCAGGTACAGCGGCCCCAGCACAACGGGAACCCTTGGACCTGGTGCCCGACTTGAGTCATCCGTGATCGCTGTGAATTCATGCTGTGAGTGCGGGAGGGAACCAGGCCGGCCCGATCCTGGGCCCACGACACCGAACTGGGCAAGCGCCAGGCCTGGTGCACCAGGCTGCTTCCCCCCATGCCGCTCTCCCACGAGGACCGTCTGAGACCCCTGCCAGGGTCAGGCTGCAGGGAGCCTTTTTAATGCCAGAGGGAGGAGACACGCAGCTCTTCGGGGATCCTGCAGGGGGTGCTCTGCAGTTCTAACCCGGACCCCAGGAAATATTGATTGTCAGGAGGGGAAGCCGAGAGGGGGAGGAACGAAAGGGCAGGTACCCAGGATCCCTGACAGTTTCCCGTTCTAACCACTAGGCCAGGCTGCTTTACTGCCCATCGCTCCCGAAGCAAAGGGCTCTGCCTGCGGGACACTGACGTTGGGACCCACCCTGCCCAGGTCACCGGACACAAGTCCAGTAGAGCTCCAGGTCATGATAAAAATCTCGCTTTGGGTCTCGTTCTTCCCAGAGTGACTCCCGGTGCCATGGGTCTGCAAGAGACTCGGCTCTCTGTAGGCCAGGCTGCTTTACTGCCCATCGCTCCCGAAGCAAAGGGCTCTGCCTGCGGGACACTGACGTTGGGACCCACCCTGCCCAGGTCACCGGACACAAGTCCAGTAGAGCTCCAGGTCATGATAAAAATCTCGCTTTGGGTCTCGTTCTTCCCAGAGTGACTCCCGGTGCCATGGGTCTGCAAGAGACTCGGCTCTCTGATGCATCCACCTCTGGCTGCCCCCGTGCCCCCCTCCAATAACACAGCACTGTCCTCAAGCCCCAGAGACCCTACAGTAACGCTCCGGGCACAGCCCTGCCACTCACACCGCAACCTGCGAGAAAATCCTCGCTCCCAAGTCCCCCCTCCCCCGTCTCTCTCCTAGCCCATGGGATACCTGCCCCAGTGCGGGACCGTGGGCCATCGTCGGCAGATCTGGGGAGAGGGGAAGGCCCATGGTTGAGGGGTGGCAGCAACGCAGGTTCCGGTTGGGGGGGGCGACGTAGGTTCCCCCACAGATGCCTTGGCCAGGTTACCCCGCCCCCGTGACTCCAGACCCTGCCCCCCCAGCCCTGGCTTCCCATTTGCAGGGAGGGACCCCAAGGTGCCCGCAGACCCATTGAGTGCTTGGATTTTAACCCAGGCTGCCCCCCGGAATCTGGGGGGGCTTCAGGACCCCCCGAATGCCCTGCAGGTTGGCCCGTCTGCCCAGTGCACCGGGATCCGCGCCCACCAAGCTAGGAGGGGAGAGCCCCCCCCAACGTCTGACCCACCGCCAGGGAAAGGGGCACCTGCC